ACCAGTCACTTTCCTTTACTCCGCACACGAGCACAAGGTTCCTGAAGAACTTGGAGTGGTTGCTGAGTAGATCATCTAAGCTGCCGCCTTAAAAAAAACGGCAGCCTAGTGTGCACGGCTCAAGACAGACGGGAGCCGGCAGACGGCTCAACAGTCACGTAGCTGGCTAAGCTGTCCTGGTTTAGAATCTAGAACCAGCATCCGTAGCACACACGGGCCGGAGTTTTCACTGTAAACACGATCGAACGACCTGTCTAACAAGAGTGACAGCACGACGGTACATGCAGCTGTCGCAAAGATGGCGCACAGAAGTCAAAGCGTTGCTTCTGCCCCTTGAATCGCCTCACAGAGAAGCCTGAAGTCTACTCAGCCCGGTAGGGCCGACAGAAGCGTTCGTCTGCTGTCAAACTGCACTCTCACACTGGTTGGCTAAACATTTCCCGGGAAAAATCCCGTAACGTGACGTCATATTCGTACGCGGACAAGAATACGGAAAAATTTCATTCGACTATTTCGCGTTTTGTATAGCCCCGCGTTGCCTGCGTTTGAAAAATCGTAACTTTTAAAGGGTTTTCCCGAAAAATATACAAAAATAAGCGCTGTATCAAGCACATTTCAAGCTTTACAACGAAACAAAAAAAGCTACTTCACAAAAATGCGGCGTAAGGTTGGTTTTTGCGTGCACGGTCACATTTATGGAGGTTACATGTGTAGCTGTCTCTCCACAGACTTCTCGGAAATGTTGCAAGGTAATTAGGCACAGTGAGGAATAACATACATCACACACGTTCCTGTTTTGCCTTCTATTCGCAGGGAGTTGCAAACAAAAAAAAATGCATGCAACTTCCTCCCAAGTGACACCACGAGGAGGTTGAAGTCCCATCATGGGACAGTCTCAATTCATACACACACAGAGATGACTGCCCCACAATGTCGTCACTCACAAGTGGATTCACACCACACAAATATTTTGCCTATATAGAAAGGTATCCGTGCCGGGGTTTACTGAATGAGTTTGCATGGTTCTGTCCAGGCAGTGTGAATCCACTGTGAAGAGTGGATGTTATTAGGTACCTAATACAGGTCAGTGACAGTTCTGCACATAAAAATGTGCACAAGGGCTTTAGTAAAATACACACTGGCAGAGGGCATATTATCACTGTCAACTTTGCTACCTGCTAGTTGGTACAACATCCATTTCACATCCACTCTTCAAAACATACAATTAATGCAGTGTCAAGTTCCATACAAACAGCTGCCCTCCGTGGGATCCTGTTAGATACTGTAAACACCCGAGTGTGGAGATCTCATAGTAACAGGTGCAAACATACCCGAGTGTGGAGATCGATCGCAACAGCTCACTCGGGTTCACACATAACCCAGAGTGTGGAGAAACTCCTAACAACAGCTCACTCGGGCTTGTACATGCAACAGCACAATACACATTTTACACATCACATTTATGATGAGCGAGCACAGGGGCATAACTGTTACATAAGAGGCCTTAGAAACCATCTTTTATCCTAAACAACTCAGTCAGGCATGCTCACTGCGTTCGCTCACCATTCATTTTTACATTGGAAAATCACATTGAAAAATGCACTCAATCAACCCGAGCGTGGCCAGGTGCAAACATACCATAGCGTGGAGATCTCCTAGCAACAGCTCACTCGGGTTCACACATAACCCGAGTGTGGAGAAACTCCTAACAACAGTTAACTCGGGCACACATACGTACTTAGTGAAACTTTCAACAAACAGACACCCACACTACTGTATATGCTGATTCGCCACTGGTAACTGGGTAGGTAGGTGTCTTCACACACCTCTTCACTCCACTCCCAGTGGACCTCGGACTCCCAAACACCTCACTGGGAATGTCCATGCAGTGGCGGTGATACCAGATGTGGCAGGAATCACACTTGGCCATCTCATCACCTTCTTCTTCTGGCATGTGACACAAACAGTGGAGCTCCACTGTCTTTGGCTTTCTCTGGACACTCTCTCCCCAACACAGGAAAACGAGAAACCTGGCAATTCTCAAGACAAGTTATCAGATGTGGCCTGATCTTACTGTGATCAAACCTAACACTGCAAGGGTTCAAGCCACTGCACAGGTCAAATGCATAGGCTATGGCCAGAACCCCGCAGTCGGAACCATTGGATGTTTCTCAACGTCCATTACAACTTTTAGCTCAGAGCTCGGGACATGGACCATGCTCGTAATCAATCGCACAGTTTCTTTGGACAGAGTCTTGTACAGACTGTCATACACATGGACAACACCACTCTGACAACCAACTGTGGACACAACACACCAGTGGCTGTTTCTGACGTGTATGATTTGAACAAATTCCCCAGAGTGGACCTGAAACGCAAACACCTTCTGCAGTGTGGGGGGTTGCAGGCCGGCCATGTTGGGGAAAAACTGAAGCAAGATCATCTGTGCAGCACAGATGATCTTGTCGGTGAGCCACCCTCTCCGAGACAAAACAACATCCCGATCACGACAGCTCAGAGTGTAGGCACCGTTACTTACCCACATTTCTGGGGCCTCGTTTTCTTCTTCAGATGCTGAAGATAGAACAATGCTCTCAGAGGTCTGGGGAACACAGCAATTACAGGGTTCATGCAGAGCTGAGTCATTTGTTATGCTACGAAGCGAGTTTTGGGGGGCTTTTCGCCACTCGTCGAGTGGAATAGGAGAGCAACCAGTCACCGGAATAACCTCAGTGCAGAGGTCTTCAGAACACGTTTCGAGCAGTAGAGCTGATACCGGCCAGAAAACTCCCCCACAATGCGACAGGGGACATGAAAATCCCCCATGCTTCTGCTGTGAATGCAGACATAATCCCCAACTTTCATCTCGGGCTTCACGTCCTCTGAAGGGGCAGGTTTTACACTCTCTGGGGGACTTGAGACATGTTCTGGCTCTAATGGACTGGGATCTGCATGTCCTCCCGGGTTATTTGGGGGAGGAAACAGAGTACGGCCAGGCATGTAGCTCAAGGGACAGCCTCTCTTGTGGGCCCTCCCTTCAGCTCCACTCGTACAGAAATCAATTTCAATTTCTTCTGAGTCTGATGAGTCACAAACTGTCATGTAATCGTCAGACTCAGAGTCAGTATCAGTTCCTCTGCGGTACGTCAGAGTGGGCCTCTTTTTTGGCATGACTTTGTGGAAAGGGCAGTCTCTGTGGCTGAGCGTCGGTGTGTGCTCGATCCACATGCAGCACACTTCCCCTTCCCCTGGGGTTTTCCCTTGCCCACGACCACTGCCCTTTCCCTTTTCCTTTGTTCTGGTTCACCCCATCACCAGAGTCACACACCATTTCTTCAACGTCACTATCACCACTACGTCAAAGTATGTATCGCGGCCGTGTTTCTTGGACCACTTGATGCGCTCAATCCCTTCCTTGACACGCTTCTTTTTCAGTTCTATTCTCCGTTTCTTCTTGGGAGTGGTCTTGGCCAACTCTAATTCTCTCTTCCTCCGTGCATTGTGCTTTGTCAGCGCCTCGACCATGCCTTCAAAAACGGGAAGCTTCATGCGTCGGTACAACTCTGGGAGCCAGTGATAACTAGTACCTAGCTTTGCATGCATGTAGGTCAGGTTTGGCTTGGAGCAACCCGAGATTGGTGGAGAGTTGGTAGTGAAGCCTCTCCAAGTAGATATCTTTGGACGGTAACCTGATCAATACATTGTGAGAGGCTTCAACTGCATTAGAGTGGCCACGTTTGAGGATGGGGTGAACCAGCTTGCTGGCCTGTGCAGCTCTCTCTGTGCATTCAATCTCGTACAACAGTGCATGAAATTCACAATCCAGCTTCATTCTGGATTTGTACGGTTTTCCCTCACACTCTATTTGTTCTTTGTCACTACACTTTTTGCACGTGCAGACCCGAAGTGGGTGAAACTCACACTTTCCTCCCTCCCACTCATGTATGTCACGTGCATGTTTAGGCAGTGCTTCCAGGCGTTTCACAAATTCCTCCTGTGACTGAGCCTCCATCAAAATTGACGTGAAATTTGTGTGCGCTTTTGAAATAAAAGGTGCATTCAAGCACCCGCATGTAGCACTGTGGTTGCCCCCCTCACATTTACAGCGGAGCTCACCCAGAGCAGGAAAACTATCTTTGTACTTGTCCACCATCGTCTTGGACACCTTTTCATCAATTGATTTTTTGTGGGCACGCCCAGCATGTCCGCCACAGATCATTATTTCGGCATCAGGAAACAGATCACTGACTGCCTTGGCCGGGAGGAGTCTGCATCCTGCCAGTGGATGGCAACCTGCATTCCCTCCTCTTTGGCCCTACGAAATGTCAGGCGTGCGGCATACCCTTCGGCAGATTTGGACGTGCCCTTGTACAAGTCTTCCTCTATAAATTTCTCTCTGCCCCTTTGGCAGAGATGATGATAATAGAGGAGAGCCCTCTTCAGGTAGTTCCTGATGGCGAATGTGGCATTTTTGCTATGCCAGCCGCATGTTTGCCACGTACCATCAGCAACTGTTACTGCATGTTTCCATGAGACGAGCTCGTCTTCTTTTTTATCTTTCATTTCCTGCTTGGCGGCCTCACAAATATCGTCAAGCATCGATTTTACAACAGGATACATGTAATATATTGTATCCATAAAAACATTCATACACACAGCATTGATCCCTAGAGTTTCTTGTAGTAGACAGCATGAGTACTACCGGCAATGATAAAGGCAATTTGAACACACATGCCCACAGCATTTGTGTTCCCACACAGTTTCTCATTCTTCACACATGTATCAAGTACCACAGCATTCATGGCACACCCATCACAACAACAAGTAATGGAAAATGTGCCACCCAACCCTTGGCTGTGCACATGCACGGGAACTAAATTTCCCTTACAACCAGGGGTTTTGCAGCCACGAACCTCATTCATCATTTCTAAAAATTTTCCCCAATTGAGGCAAGGCAATAAAACCCAATTTATTGGGCAAATCAATGGGCGAGTCTTTTCTTCACGAATAGGTGTGGGAATATAGAGTGAGTCGTTGTCATTGGACTCACTCTCCCAACTACTCCCTGACTCACCCTCAACATCATCATCACACTCACTCTCAGAACTATCCACAAATTCACACTCACCCTCAACCTTGGATTCTTCTCTGGTCTCTTCTGTGCCATTACCAGGGCACACAGAGCCTGAAAAAAGAAAGTATGCACATCAAAGTTAGAGTTACGATTAGTCGTGAACGTCTGGCTACACCTGCCAGGGTTACGGGCTGGGCGTGGGACCCTATTTCGTATTTTATCTTCCCTTTTCCGATTCTAGTCGAAAAAATACAGCCTGGTCACGCAGATGAGGAGGTGCTCAGACCTACAGTTTGTCCTCCCCTACAACTAACAAACAACTCTGAGCAACAACACACAGAGTCCATACAGCTAACCAGTAACAAGATCATGGCCAGCCTAAGGAATAATATGCATCCCGGGATTCTCAAGTGCGTATAACTCCAGACACAACCGACCCGGTACAATGTTGATTACATCAAGCAAAGGCATGGATCCAGTGACGGCCTGCTCCTGGATAGTATTGTTCGCGGCACTTCGAAGTCCGTACGGAGTTAGCTACTTTTACTTTAGCTACACTGCACATGCGCTCGCAGCGGATCCCTCGCAGCTAGCCAGCAAGACTAAGCGAGACTACTCGCCCGACACAAACGTTATACTCACCAGTGGAAGAATCCATACTCGGTCGAGAGGTAAGCAGACGCACGTGGCGATAACCCGAAAATGCGCATGCGCACCAGTTTAGCCGGACTCAACAACGCCAAAGTGTGAGCTGAAACGTTCGGAAATGGACAGAAGAGTGAAGAGCAGTGGGACTACAAAGAGGACATTGATCGATAGACAGAGCAAGGCAGGCGAGAGAGGGGAAGGAAAGGAGGAGAGGTTGTTGTGGTGTGTCAGGTTGTGGGCGAAGGAGAAGATAAGGAACAGAGTGCAGAAAATGTGGGTAAACATAGAGTGAGAGAGAACAGAAGTCAGAACAGACAGAGAGAGGAAAACGGAAGAAGAGAGTTGTGAGAACAAACATGAGAATGAAGACAGCGAAATGGAGGGCAGTCAAGAACAGATCCATATGAGACTCACGCTACATCATTAGTACCTCTAACTCAATGCTACAACTCAGTAAGAGTTCCAGTAGTAGTACTGAAGAACAATTGGATGGGGCACCAGAAACTGAGAACCCAAAACCCTCGTCCAACATCAAGAAAATGCTGCGGAGACTTGCAAGACAAAAACAACTAGAGGATGTGCACACACGAGAGGCCGCCCTGGCTCGGGAAGTGAGACTGAAGAGAAGGCAGGGCTTGTTGCTCACGCCACCAAAGAAGGCCAACAAGCGTTGTGTGACGTGGAAGGAGGAGGCAGTTTCATTCAGGTCTTTGAGTATCCTCTGTGCTCTCCTCGAGGGAGCAGTCTCGATCCCGAAGACATTGCAGAGCTGGATTTGAATGATTAGACACTCCAACTTTCTCTTATTTTTAACGTAATAGTGCGCATGCATGTGCAGATAAAAAGTCGCCTATCATATTATACTGAAAGTGCTACAACACACTGATCTGTGGATTTGATGTGCAAGAAGATCGATAGTCTAAGGTAGTCTGACTCTGAGTCGAAAATTCCCTCATTGGCAAAGGAAGTGGCCCCTGACTATAATATACAGTGGAAACTACAAATAATGGACAGATTGGGACGAGGAATTTTGTCCTTCATAGGGAGGTTGTCCTCTCTTCAGAGGTTAAAGATGTAGTGAATGTTTGCGATATCTATTGTGTCCTTTATGTCCTTATCAGAGGTTCTACTGTAAACGTCTTTTTGATGTGCTGGGGGCAATCGTCATTAAGAGGATGTTTAAACATACAAAACACACATGTCCATGGACATTGCATAAATAAGCAAGGGCACATTCACAAACTAAAATCAGGTTCAATCAGACGAACGAA